GTCTTTTAGAGATGCTTTAATTATATAATTTAATTAGTTAATAGGATATTAATCAAAGAGGAAATTACATATTTCCAGACATTTGAAGATCCAAGTGCAAAAATCAGGTGCAAAATTGTTTTAATCAAAACTCAGGTATGAAAGTAATAATTAAATATTTATATATACAACCCTAAATCAATTTCATCTCCACCCGTTTCATTTTCTCCCTCTCCTCTCTCATATCTCACGCCTCGTTCTCGCCGCCGTCAAGGAGCATCACTGCCGGAGAGCCGCGCCTAGAGAAACATTGCTGTTGTAATGAAGAGGAGGTCGTGGCGAAGCAGATCCACCGTAGTAGCTCGATTTGGATTTTTCTCCTTCATGACCACCGCCTGGAACACCCATCGCCGGTGGTGTTGATGTTGGTGGTGCTCACTAGGTGGTGTTAGTCTTGGTGGCGGCGGTTGCGATTTTGTGTGATGTATGTAGTGGCAGTGGTTACTGTGGTGGCGTTTAATCTCAACCCATCGATCCTCGACGGCCGGCACAAAACTTATTCTCTCTGATGGCCACTGGCGGCACGTTAGGAGAGCACAATGGTGGAAGCGGTAGTGTGGTGGTGGTTCATGGTTGGCAGTGATTCTGTGATTTTGTGGTGGTGTTGGATTTAGTGGTGGTTGCTTTGCTGGTGGTAGGGTTGTGGTGTGGTGGTGGTGTATTTGATAGGGTATGTTGGATCTGATGGTGACGGTGGCGGTGGTTGGATTGGGCATGTTGCTGTGTGCAGTAGTTGGCTTGATGGTTGTGGTGTACTGTCAATGTGATAATCATGATTGGAGATGAAAATGGGTGTTGGTTAATTTGTGACCAATCATTTTTTTATCCGTGACCTACAAATTATATAATCTGTGACCGCGAATTATATTATCTGTGATCGTAAAAAATCTGTAACCAACTAATTTGGAAATCTGTGACCGTATGACCTATAAATTTTGATATGTGACTAACTAATTTTGAAATTTGTGACCAACGAATTAAATGTGACTTATAAAATTTTTGAACTGTGACCATTAAATAATATGTGACGTATAAAAATTAGTATTTGTGATTGAAAAATAATATGTGACTAATTCAATTATAAATCTGTGACCGGAATGATTGCCGGAATAGTCATCGAAATGGTCGTCGGAATAGTCGCCGAAATCGGAGCAGTCGTCGGAATGGTCGCCGGAGAAGAGTGGTGGTCGGAATGGTCGTCGGAATAATCCCCGAAGCGGTAGGGGTGGTGCATGTGGGGTAGGTTTATTATATTATATTATATTAGAAATTGAAAAAAATAAAAGCCTGATTTTTGAATTTTCAAACTATAAACATGATTTTTGAATTGGTGTAAACTAAACACCTTATTTATGAATTTTTCCCTTAATCAAATTAGTTAATTTTTTGGGAAAAATTCATTTTTCCTACTTTATCTTTACCCTATTTCAAAAATAACAAAACAACTTTCACATTTCAAAAATCAAATGTTTTAACCTATACATACACACATATATAAATATTTATTTATATATATAAATATATAAAAAGATATAAATAAATAAATATAATTAACCCACCCCCACCCCACCAATCCGGCAACTATTCCGCCACTGCTCCGGTGATTGCTCCGATGCCGATTCTGGCAACTGCTCCGGCGACTACTCCAATTCCGGCGACTACTCCGATTCCGGCAACTATTCCGATGACATGAATTTTTTGTACGATCACAGCCCAAGTCACAAGTCACAACGCATGATTGTTCGTTTATAATAACTGATAACATGATAAGACTCATGTCTTACATTTTTGTTGATAGTTAAAGGTTTATTTCAAATGGTCACAGAATATTTTACACATGACTCGTGTTTATTTTGATATTCATAGGTTAATTTCAAATGGTTACAATGCACATCACAGAGTACTTTTAAGTCATAATTAACTAATTTATTGATGAGATAGACTGTACAGTACCACCTCACCACCACCACCACCACCACCACCACCGTTAACGTACCCTAACCCTACTCCGACGTCGCTACCACATCCGGCAACTCACTACAACCATTATCGCTAACGGCGCCAACACAACCGCAACTCACCATAAGCGTCACCATCGTCGCCAAAACAGTCTAACCCATTGCCACAACCACACAGATCAGCCATCACAACGCAAACACACCAAAAAAATTGAATCGAAAAATACCCATTGAAACCCCTGCAGCCAAAACCACCACCTCCACCATCTCCTACCATCTCATCCCAACCCACCAGATCCACCACCATCGCCACAACTGCGCAGATCCGCCACCACAACGCAACCACCACCAAAAAATTGAATCGAAAAATACCATAGCCACCGCCACAGCCACACCAACACCACTGTTGAAAAGGAAACGAGAGGAAGATGGGTAGATGAAGGGAGATGCGAGGCTGATTTTCAAGACTCCAGATCTGTAGTAACGGATGGGCGAAACGGCATCGGCTCCGTCACAGCGACACATATCACGCACAGAAGCCTGAAACCATATCTTACCGTTGCATCTGTGCGATTTGTGGCTGTTCCTCCGAGTTACCCGTCGAAGTCAGCGGGCAATGGTGCGTGAAGTTTGTGGGTATGGTGCCGATGGGCCAGTGGGCGACTCGATCTGTGGGTATGGTGGCTGTACTTTCGGTGGGTATGGTGGCGGCGTGGAGAGAAGTCCCTTTCCACGCCGTCGTGAGAGAGAGAGAAAGAGAGAGAGAGAGAGACTGGAGAGAGATGAGTGAGAGACGTGAATTAGCTAGCCAATTAGGGTTGAATATTAATTTAGGTGTATATATTTTAAGTTTCATAATATTATTATTAATATTTAATTAAATATAAAAAAAATCTGTATCTATATATAAAATATCTGATTTTTGAAACTTAAACCTTAAAATCTGATTTTAGAATTTGGATCTCCAAAAGTAAGGGATGGTGTAATTTCCACTAATTTTTTTTTACAATAATTGTGCCTAAGCCCCTGTTTGTCTACCATTTTTCAAAAAATTATTTTCCACAGTAATCTCTACCACACATTCAAATAATAAAATATTCTACATATAAATCGATAAAATTTTTTCAATTTCAACCACACATTTTCCAAAAAACATTATTAATTACACCATTTTCTTCTCAATAATGGTTGACAAGCAGGGGCTAATTTTCGCTTGATATTTTCCCTTATTTAATGCTCCGTTTCACTCTAAGGCCCATCCAAGATTGGACCGGCCCACTAGTACTATAAACCCTAATATCGTGTCTTGCTTTGCTATATACAAATTTCTATGCACTGCCCCTTTAGACATTCTGTTCAAAAACCCTAGTTGCGTCCACAAAGTTCTCGTCGGACTTCAGCATCTAGTCTCCACACAACAATCATGGTATATTGCTCTCTCAATCTCACGGAAATGTTTGTGTTTAATTTCCTGATGTTGGCTGACTCTGTGTGTATATGTGCAGGCGGATGTGGAGACCGATGTTGCGACAGGGCAGCCAAAGAAGAGGACGTTTAAGAAGTTCAGCTTCAGGGGTGTGGATCTCGATGCCCTCCTTGATATGTCAACGGATGAGCTCGTCAAGCTCTTCCATGCCCGCGCCCGCAGAAGGTACGCTTTTTTGTTTTTGTTTTCTGTTATATGTATGTTTTTTCTGTACTGTTGTTTCCTTCTGTAATTTTCTTCAGTAAATAAATTAGTGGCCTATATTGAAGGAAGACTTTTGAGTTATAAGGTACAAAATTAATGACATTTGCGTGATCCTTTTCATTTTTATGAGATTTAAATACGATTGTTTTAGGGAATGGGGAATAGGGTTTTACTAATATGTTTGGGATATTAAATGGGATATATTTACACTTTTGTGTCTCGCCACCTGATTCTCTGTTCTGAATGTATCTGTGTTTGTTGCTTTATCGCATAATCTGGTATTCATTTTACTAGTTCTGATATTTAGTATGTTCTTTGAGTTAGTTAATTAAGTATATTATAAGTTTGATATCCGAGCTAAAATCTATACAGTGAGAGGTACTACACACACACACACACACACATATATATATATATATATATGTCATTTGAGACACACCTTGTGTGTAATGTTAGTGTTCTTTGTGGATCAAATTGTCTTGCCTGTGACATATGCATTGTGTCTGTGATCGAGGATAATTTAATCCTTGCAATCTGCAGCTGTTGATGTTTGTTTACTTGAACATGTCTTTTCAAACCGTTAATTACATTTTGATCAAATCATGTTTGCGGTTTGTGTTGCATGATGAATATAATTGTTTCGTTGAAGAAAGTAATAGAGTTATTGACTTTGTTGCTTTCTGATGCTTTGAGTTGAACTTGTCCATATTATTTTAGGTTTGTTCTTCTTTTGATATGCATGATCAATTTGCAGGTTTCAGAGGGGTTTGAAGAGGAAGCCCATGGCTTTGATCAAGAAGCTGCGCAAAGCGGTAATTTATCCAAAATCTGAAATTTGAAGTTATTGCTGCTTGCCTTTCTGCCAATTTCTCTTTGTCACTCTTTTACCTGGTAGAAATGGGAAAAGTAAACTCTAAATTAGAATTGCTGTTTTTAGCCAAAATGATAACACCTGTCCAAAGTAATGGATTGAAGCATATTCTTCTCACTTGCTTTTCATGCACATACTTTTGAGGGAAGATCCTCCTCTTTGGAGAACATCTATCGCTGGCATTTCCATTTTTTTAAAATAATCTTTATACTTGAAACATGCACATTCAGATTTATAAAATGTTATTGTTTTAATATCTTGGTGATGGAGAAATGTGAAGGATATTCATGTAATTCTTTTCAACTCATTTCATTAGCTTAAGCATTCGGCAAAGATAGATTACACCAGCCTCTGTGGAGTGTAGTATTTTTTGGAAATCTTTTTTTTTATTTCATTATTGCCAGTCAAGTTTATAGTAGTCAATCTTGGGACAATTTTTAATGTTTTTGAATACTGAGTAACAAACCATGTTTGCTGAATATTTCACACATATGATTCTTTAATTCAGAAACGTGAGGCCCCACCTGGTGAGAAGCCTGAGATTGTCAAAACTCACCTGCGAAATATGATCATTGTCCCTGAGATGATAGGAAGTGTCATTGGAGTTTACAATGGCAAGACCTTCAATACAGTTGAAATCAAGCCTGAAATGATCAGCCACTATCTTGCCGAGTTCTCAATCTCATACAAGCCCGTTAAACACGGTAGACCTGGTATTGGTGCCACCCACTCTTCAAGGTTCATTCCTCTCAAGTGAGAATTCTCATTCGTCTCAGCAACACAACAAAATATTGTTTCTGAGAATTTCCTATGTTCTGTTTCTTTCTTGGTCATTTAATGTCCCTTGTGCTGCTAGAATTTTCAATTGAGGCGTAAACAGTCGAACCAGCCTTTGATATGAAGCTATCGGATAGATTGTTTTAGCATTTTGTTTAATGATATTTATAAACTGGTTTTGAATTGCATATTTTTGCCCTTGATATTTAGTTTATCAAGTTCATGCATTCCTAGCAGTATTTGGTCGTGATATTTTGACATCGATGCACAACTGGTTTCAAGGCCACCAAGTTAAACAGGGCCAATACCAATCCAGCATTTTGACATGCCAAGATCGTCTGTTGTGCCCTGGCCTATTTTGTATGCCCCCTCGTTCTATAGCAAATTTCAAGCCTTCCCATATCGTCATGCATAGAACAACTAAGGGAGAAACAACCCCCACATTGGATTTTGCTGCAGGCGTGACCATTTACCTTTCTCGTTTCTGTATATGATTCCAACTCCGTAGAATGTGGCCATTTTGGACAGCAGCTTCCACATTTCAATTTTAAAGTCCCTGGCAAGGGCCCTGCTCCTTGAGAACCAATATCACCACCAGCCCTCTGCCTACTGTCTATGCCTTCCACCCTTCTCCGAGCATTCCGATATTCAATAACCACCAGCAGCATCCCAATGAAATGACCTCCCAGGGTTATTGTTTATTGGGAAAATTGCAACGGTACCAGACATTTCGCTTTTTTGCAGGTTTTGCCCAAATCTTTGTTTTGTGCTATCCACGGTATCAAACTTTCAAACAATTCGTACTTGGAGTTCACGTTGACAGTTTCGGTCCGTTGACTGTTAGTCAGGCAATAATAGTAGATTTTGATCAATTTTGACAAAATTAGAAGGGGAGGGGTAAAATGGTAATTTGACAATTTTCTTATTAAAAAAATAAAAATAAAAATTTGCAATTTCTTCTTCTTGGTATCAACAGTGCCGGCACCGTCACTGGCACACCACCGCCTCCTCCCACCATCGTCACGGTCGTAGCCTATTCGTCATTTCTCTTCCACCATCAAATAAGGGAAACAATGTAAAATAGTTCAGGAACCAATTTGAAGCAGATCTAGAACCAAACAACAAAAAGAAAACCATGCCATTTTTGAATGACGGTCACAAAACAAACAAATGAACAAATCAATCTGACAGTTATCACCTCTGTTAATAGCATAGAAAACACAGCTCAAAATGAGTATCAAAACTTTCTGTGTACATTCTCGTGACATGAAAACATATACACATTCGTCATTTCTCTGTACTTTTCCTTCTTCCCCTCTCCTTTTCAGCCGTCATCTACCCAACTCTTCAAACCACTTTTTCTGAACCTAATTCCTTCATTCTTTCCCAATTTCACCAAATAGGGCGCCAAATCCAACTTATGTTCCTCCCCCACTTCCGCCAATTACACCACTCCCAAAACGACAAAAGAGCTTCAATTGACTACCATCGACAGGTTCCTTTTCCTCCAAATGGGGGCGATGATTGGGTGTGTAATTTGATTTTTTGGGTAGGATAGGGGAAGATTGAAGAAGGAGATGGGTTTTATTTTGTGGATTTTGTTTTTTTTTTATATATTAAAATTATAAAGTTACCATTTTACCCCTTTCTTATTTGATCAAAATTATTAAAATTTTAAAATTGAAGTCAATTGACGGTTTTTTGGGTCAAACGGACGGAAACTGTCAATTTGGACTCCGGGTGCGAATTGTTTAAAGGTTTGGTACCGTGGATGGCACAAAACAAAGATTTGGATAAAGTCTGCAAAAAGTGAAAGGTTTGGTATCGTGACTACAATTTTCCCTTCTTTATTCCTTTGAACATCTTGCTATTTGGATCATTCCAACGTCTCCATATCACCTCCAAACAAGTCCATCTCCCTGGACAAATTTTTCCTTGCCCATAGCAGCAATTTCCTAATCTTATCTTCTTTAAAGCTCATCGCCATATCAGCAAATTTAATTTCACGCCAAATAGCATCATAACGTTCACACCGGACTGGAGTGTGGAAGGTTTGTTTCCATCTCAATTGGAATGTCTCCGCCATAGATTGAACTATGTCGGCAGAATTTCTACAAACGCCTTCCATATGAAATTTTTTGTCTTGCTTGGGATGTCTAAACTCCAGAGCAATTTCAACCACCCTTGAAGAGGATTGCGGAGCAGAATCTGAGACGGCTGCAGCGAGATGATGCCTGGATTTGATTGCATACAAATACAAATATAAAGACACATATACATACATACAATATATACATCTATAGACCCCTAAATATATATACAAGCATGTAGACACACACACATATACACGTGCACACTCACGTGCAGATACCAAACACGCGCACATACATTAATATGTATAGTATATATATGCGCGTGTGCACACACATATTTGTACACAGACATTCATGTACACACATGTTTATATATAGGAAAAGTTTACATGTACATAATATATGTACATAATAGTGTGTATAATGTGATGTGGACAAAATCCTGAAACCACCCTTGAAGAGGATTGCGGACCAGAATCTGAGATGGCTGCAGCGAGATGATACCTGGATTTGATTGCATACAAATACAAATATAAAGACACATATACATATATACAATATATACATCTATAGACCCCTAAATATATATACAAGCATGTAGACACAAACACATATACACGTGCACACTCACGTTTATATAAACACATGCAGACACCAAACACGCGCACATACATTAATATGTATAGTATATATATGCGCGTGCGCACACACATATATGTATACAGACATTCATGTACACACGTGTTTGTATATATAGAAACGTGTAAGGGAATAAAAAGTCTCTCATATGATTCTTAATACATTCAAAGTAGTGTCGAACCCAATTTCCAATAAAAAGCAGAATATGAAATGAGCACTTTTGTGGTGGGGACTTGGAGAGATTGTAAGCAAAAATGGAAGAAAGTGGTTGTATGTTGCACCTTTTGGAGAATAAATGAATGGATTTATTTTGTGAAGTCAAGTGTAGAATTAGGAGAAGTTTTTGACTACCAATCTTTTGAAAACCATGAAAGGATAATTATGCTACTTAACAAAATAAAATCTCATCAATTGATTCCATTAAACAGTCAAATTCCAAATTCTCCGCTTGGCTATTTATCATACTAAATTAATTAAAATTTACTTACTATAAAAAAAATAAATGTCTTCAAAATCAAATGAATCTAAGAGCTCGTTTGATGGGCAAATGTGAAAAGACTTTTCAATTCCATGTATTTTTCATGAAATTGGCAAAAAAACAAGTTTAAAGTGGTTGTACCTTGAAATTCAAACTCTACTTCCACTTTCGTATCAAACAACTAAAGTAGAAATTGACTTTCTCTGATGTGACATTTTTCATGGAATTTAAACCAATCAAACGGACCCTAAGTGAATTTACATAAATATGAGTTATGAGACATTATATCATATAATAAAATAAATAATCGTATAACTTATTACAAATTTTATTTAATTAACTTTTTATTGGCGAGTTGATCGTTTAGGCCGTTCAATAGTGCATTCCACTGCAAACAATATAGTTAGTCACGACTACAATAATTGTAATAATTCAATAGTAAATGTGACATAAACGCAACTAATCAAGATAAACATGATAATCACAAACATACAATTAGTCTAACAATATATAAAGATTTCTTAACTAATACTAGTAATCAAATTACATAGGACGTCTTAATGTTTTTCTTCGCGTTGACAAATCGAGTGGTCAAGATTGGTACCCAAATCAGCGTTCTCTTTCTTGGAACTGAGACTGAAATTTCCCTTCAACTTCAAATAAAGTTCTTTGTACTGCCTTTTCTACATCTGCTGCTCTTATCTATAAAAATATTCAAATAAAAAACCAATAACTAATTTACCATTATACCACGTAATCTGGTGTTAGCTATTTGACAACAGAAAATGAAATATAAAATATTACCACTTACTATCAAGTCCCTGTTTGTTTCCAATTTTTTACCTCATTTTAATAATTTTTCCAACCGCCACAAATGCAGCAGCCGCAAGTTTTGACTATCTCACAAGTGGGACCCATGTGTTGGTAAAAACAGTCACAAAATTAATTCTTGTACTCAAACAATGGAAAACAAACGGGGTTTCTAGTTTATCTATTTATTTTATTATTTTTATTTTAAATACAATTTAATCAATAAAAAAAAGAGTTGGGATATTAAATATTTTATCATGTGATTGAAAATGGAAAAAAAGGGTTTTAAAAGAATGGAAAATAAACGTGGGTTAAATAAGTAAACGGCATGGCAGTAAATGGAGATTTTTTAATCTCCATCTTGCTCCACTCTTTGGAAATCTCTGATGGGGTAGGGACGATGCCATCCCCATTTAATGATGTGGAACAAATGCTTCCATTTCTTTATAGAACTTCTAATCAAAACAAACTCATAATAAATATAAAGATCATATGAGAGAGAGAGAGAGAATATTCATGTTGTGTAAATTTTGATTGAATGGCTCTTACTTTGGATCCAGTATTTTCCAAACATCTAAGAACCTCCAGCATAGAATCAATTCCTGATGCTGGATTTGCTACTTTTAACTTAATTAGAGCCTTTTCTTCCTTAATTTCATTAACTTTTCCAGCCAAAACCATCTCCAGTTCACCGTTTCTCCTCTCCAACTCCTCCTTGTTCTTCTGCAATTCCTCAATATTCTTGGCTGCCATGTGGAGTATTGAGTTCTTATCACTCTGCAATCCATATTCCACATATCTTAGATACAAGAAAATGAACGCTTAAACATATTTGATACACCGTACTGAATAACAATAATCAAGTCAAGTTCAGTGTTAATGAGTCGAGCACATCAAAAGTACTATAGAAATATGTGAGTGCATACGCGTATAGTATATACACAAAAACAAGAAAAGAATCAAGAAACATGTGACCACCTTAGTTCCAAGGGGCAACAGCTTATGCAATGCTAAGTAACTTTGCTTGTGCTTCTCTCTTCTCATTCTCTCACTGATCGCATGCTTATGGCTTCTTGTGCTCTCGGTTTCAATAGTTGTCTCGACCCTCATCCTGGTAGATGTCTTCTTCAAGAACTCAATCATCCTCTTGTTTACGTTCTGATGATTCAGTCCATTGCCATGGCTCCTTGGTGCAAGCTCTCCAATGGGTTGTTTTATGTACCTAACAAAAGCGCTTGTATTCACCAAAACAGCCTCCTTAGGCCATTCCATATCCCAATCAAAGTTGTATAATTGGAAGAACTCATCCATGGCTTATTTCGGTTGGACTCTTGTATACTCTTTATTCTGTCTGTATTAAGAGACAGTTGTGTTTCTCCTATATATAGAGAGAGAAAGAGAGATTAGTCATAAGACTCAACTTAAACACGTGGGATATTGCCATTTCTTGTCTATATATATATAGAGAGAGAGAGATATATATATATATTAGTCATAAGACTCACCTTAAACACGCGGGATATTGCCATTTCTTGGTCTAAACATCGTATTCTTACATTGGTCAAAGGTGAAATGAATTCTATAGGCGTGTCTCATTTAACGTCCCAGACTATTCAATTTTGAGTCTTATCCAGCCAAATTCCAGTCATAGTTTTCATTTTTCAACCTTTTTTCTTGTGTCTAATCTATCACGTGTTGCAACCGTAACATACTTTTATTTGAACATTAAATAATCAATTGACACTCATGTTATAATGTTGGACTACAGGTTAAAATTGTCCCAAAAATAATTCTTTTATTCCAAAACAAACTAACTTTCATTTCAAAGTCCGAATAAGGTAAAATTCACGTTCATGAAAATTCCATTTAAGATCCAAAAAAACATTTTGTGCTGGTTGGGATATGGTTATTATAATTCTAAAAGGTTGTGAATTGTAAGTTGAGGTCAAGAATGTCACACTTGCAAAAAGTTAGTGATTCACGACGAATTTTACCTTCTCTATATTGTATTATTTGCTTAGATCAAGGAGGTTTTTAGTTCGTAGATATTATTATAAAATATAAAAAAAAATTGAGACGAAATTCTTAGCATAAAAGAAGAGGTTGGACAAATCAAAATTAACATATATATATATATTATATAGGCTGAGAATGAGATTTCTAAGAACAATTCACGTAAAATTAAAGGGCAATCGAAACCGAACACAACTTGGGCTCGACTTTATTTTACCGAATTTTGATTTAATTGAGCCTGTCTCATGACTCCTGTTAGGTTTTTAATTATGTAATTGACAATTCTGTAAACAAAAGGATTTAATTGTAAATGTTGTAAAAAGTTTAGGTACTATGTGCAATTACATAAAAGTAGGTTTTTAGGTCTAGGGTTCGAGTATGGCAAAAGAAAGAAAATATGACACGTATTTTCGCTAGACTGTCGTCATGGATTGACTCGAGCGTAAAAAACAGAACCTTCGTTGCTAGACTGTCGCTGAGCTCTCGCTCGAGCGATAATGTTGTTCGGAAAATTTTTATTTCACGATTTAAAGGTTTTTTTCCCTGATCCATTACTTTTCTAACCGACCTATGAATATCAAAATATATTTGAACGTGAAAAATAAGATTGATATTTGAGAGAGCTTCATCGGAGAGAATTCTTACATATTCCTACTTTCAACTTTCATTTTGTGAGTTTGTTTTGGTGAGAAAAATATCAATTTAGTAATCCAAATACCAAACTATTCTTTCTACCATATTGTTAGAGTTGCTGAAATTCGAGGGAAGTTGATTGGAGTTCCAGTCATTAAAGAACGTGGTGTTCTCCGTGGATCCACAGAAAAATGATTTCACAAAACTAGGAGTTGTTGCAGGAGAGTAGAATCCATGAGAGTTTTGAAAACTGCAGTTGGAAGTGGTGCAGGAGCACAGAATCCAGGAGAGTTGTTGGAATTGCAGTCAGAAAATCAGATAATACGTGTCGTTGTCTAAGCTGGTAGACTGTAAGTTACAAATCATTTATAGTGGATTGTTGACTACCAAATTGCTTGGATTTTTACTGAGTTGGGGTTTCTCCGTGATCATAACGGGTGTTTTTATTGCTTTTTGCATTAATTCTATAAAATGTGGTATTCAAACATAGGCTAAATTGACTTGTATGTTTAATTATCTAGAGATAATTAATTGGTGATATGTTGTTAATTAATTGATAATTTTAATTCCGCATAATATACCTATTCACCCCCTCTAGGTATTGTTAGGGTCGAACTACATAATTTTCACTTGGTATCATAGCCTTAATTCGATTCCTGGCCATTTATAACATCTAGATGAGTCAATCATTGTATGAATGTATTTCAGCGGAAGCAACTATGTCTACTGAAAAGTTCGAATGATAGCATTCCTTAAATCTTTGGATGAATGTATTTGGATTGGCGATCAAAATGGGTGGGCTCCACCTTCAACAACCATTGCTGGTGTAGTCACACCACTAACATCTCTCTATGGACTAAAATTAGTTTAGATAAATGTAATAGAACAGTAAAGCATTACATGCTCTATTAATGGTTGTGACTGCTGAAGAATTTAAGAGAGTCTCGATGTGTGAAACTACCATGGAAGTTAGAGATATTTTAGAAACCACACACGAGGGAAATAAAACTATTACAAATTCTAAACTGGAGGTTTGAAGAGATTAGGATGAATGATGATGAATCATTCGATGAATTCTATACGAAATTGAATGACATAATTAATTCGAGCTTTAACCTAGGTGAAAGGATTCCTGCGTCCAAAATCGTTAGAAAAGTCCTTAAATCTTTACCCGAGAGGTTTAGACCTAAGGTTACTGCGATAGAAGAAAGTAAGGACTTAGATGTTGTTAAGATAGAAGAACTCGTAGGATCTCTTCAAACTTATGAACTCAGTCTCTCAACCTAAAAATGTTAAATCCATCTCCATGAACACCATTAGAAAAGAGGAGAGTGAGTCTAATGATGCTGAGTCAGGAGATTAGATAGTACGAGTCATCGTCTAGGATGGTAGACTGTAAGTTACAAATCATTTATAGTGGATTGTTGTCGAGCAAAGTGCCTGAAATTTTTCCCAGTTGGATTTCTCCGTGATCATACAGTGTGTTGGTTTACTGCTTTATTTATTATTTATGTAATTTGCGGTATTCAAATATAAGATTAATCTGATTGTTTAACCATCTAGAAATAACAATTGGTGACTTGTTGCTAATTTGTTTTAATATTTTTAATTCAGCATAATAAACAAATTCACCTCCTTCTACGTATTGTTAGGGTCGAACTACGTAACTTTCACCGGTGATTTGTGTATTGATTATGTGTTTTATGAAATAAGATTTAGCCCCTATTTGAGTCATATTAAAAATTTTATTCTCATTTTTCTACTCATTTTTAATCACATATTTTTCAATAAAATAATATTTTTCATCACATCAATAAATTTTTCTTCTTTTTCAACCACACATTATCCATCAATTTATTATTC